GTTCCAAGCTTGAAAGAGCATCTTTCAGACAAACGTTGGTTATTCAGAGCCAGATATCTGGCAGATATTTTCTAAAAAATGAATGAAGTGATCCTGTCACTGTAACGAAAACAACTGACAGCATTTTTGGCTAATGATAAAATTTGAAGTTTCAGGTAAGCATTATAATTTCGGAAAACTTGTACCTGTCTCATTGAACATCAAGTTCCTCCCATATTTAATAAAAACTTCCCTGATGAGATCAGTGTTGATAAAATTTTAATTTTTATATTTCTATACTGAAAACACGTTAACATTTGGAAGAGCTGTATAGCTCAGTGAGTCAATATTTGCCAAATTACCAGCACTTGATGTTACAAAATCACACTCCCTTTTTGACCATGTATATGTGTGAGGCCATATTTTGTTCCTATACATCCACCAAGGCATGATATCACAACAGACTGCCTGCAGAGGCAGATCTGAGAACCCAGCTGTCTTCTGTTAGGTCAGACATTAAAGAGATTTGCAGAAATGTAAAACTGTATCCCTCTAATCACCAAACGTTGTTTGTTTTGGGAAAATAGTTATTTTTCATGTTACTTACCATGTAATAGGTTTAATTAAATTCTGAATTTCTAATGTCGTATAATTATCAATAGGTATAACCTACAAAGGAAAAAATTCTTTGGTGTCCTTGGCAAATTTTGAGAGTAAAAGGATCCTGAGGCTGCATTTGAGAGCTGCTGTCTGCATCTTGATAGGGGTTTGTGTTACATAGGTGTATGCAATTGCCAACACTTGCCCATATACTTAAGGTCTGTTCATTTTATCGTATATAATCTGGCCTTCAAAGACTATAAACAAATACTGAACTCTCACAATAGACACATGATGAAGTGTTTATGGCTGAAGTGTACTGATGTCTGTTACTTACTTGGTAATGCATAAAAGAAGATGGATGGATGGACGGACAGACTGAGAGATAATGTGATAAAGCTAGTAGCACAAATTATGAATTCTAGAATCACTGTGCTGGCTATAAGTGCTAAATTTGTCTGTGTATTTGATATTTTTCATAATGCTGGAGAAAAATAGCTGATGTTCGAGGTAGGGTTTTTTTTTTTTTTGCTTTTTTTTTTTTGCAGGTAACCTTTATTGGATTAAGGGAACTCCGTTCTAGTCCTAGTTTCCTGAGTTTTTATCACAAATGGGTAAATTCTGTCAGATGCTTTTTCTGCATCTGTTCAGATGAACATAGATCTTTTTTGGAGGTCCCTCCTCCTTGCAGGTCCACAATTTGAAACTCTTGTCTCCTTACAGCATGAGAATGCTGAATTTTCTGCCAGATTTTTTACCCTCCAACAACTCCTTTCTGCTTGGGTTCTCCAGGTTGGGTCCCTGACGTGCACACGCGCGCGCACACACGGAGGCCAGTGCCACAGAGAATTGCGTGCGGTGCCCTGCTCACTCAGAGGCCCTTTGCTCTCAGAGGCCACCAGACTCTATCCAGGCTGCTGCTGCTGCTTCTCTTCTGGTCCTTCTCACATGCAATGGCCGAGGGAAAGGAGGAGGAGGGAATGTGGCTCAGGCCAAAGGCCCCCTTCTCTCCAGGCCCCTCAAGTCCTGACTGTCTTGGTTGTTTTCCAGTGTCTTAAAACAGGGCTGTATGTGAGAAAGAGAGAGGGATCTCTGGCTGCTCTCAGCAGGAGGTTAGGCTGATACCAGCAACACCATGCATTACAGTGGCTAGCAGAAGCCTGGGATTTTACTTAAGCTTGGAGCGGACTCCAAAACCTCTGCCTTTCACGGTGCTAGAATGCCTGTCCTGTGTGTGTTTTTCAAGGCAGTCTGTTTTTTTGAGATAAGCTTTAGCAGGGCCACCAGGAGTATGATAATGTGGGGTTGACAGATACCTGGAAACTATACTTCCCCCAACTATTGTTCCTGCTGTGCCCTCTTTAAAAGTATAGCTCCATTTCAGTGGAGCATTTTTTGTTCCGTGTCGAAGCTCTGGTAGCAGTCACGTCTTCTCTGGGTACAAGTATGGGGTGTGAGTCATCTCCTCTGGAGGCTGATGGCAGAGCCTGAAGAGGGGAGCAAACTAGTAGTCAGCAGTTGTCCATATCTGTCCATATCTCGTTTACATAGTAAGTTAGAAGGCTGTGCTCATAGACTGTGCCTCTCTTCTGTGTCATTACAGCCGTGATTTTGGTTAGAACGGAAGCTGGGAAGTTCTGAAGCACTTAAATTTTAGATTCCTTGTGATCTAAGAAATACCTGCTCTAGTAGAAAAGGCTGGCCATCTAGTCTGCACTGAGGACTGGGTCGCCAGATGTGACCTTTGGGCAGTGAGGTCTGTGTGCTCTGGTAACCCCAGTATCCTCCTGGCCTTGCTGTTGTGCTTTGTCCTGTGGGAAGAAGGCAGTAGGGATCTGTGGTGGCTGCACGTGTCCCTGTGAGCCTCTGTCACATCACTGAAAGCAGACTGATGATGTTTCATTGAAATGCTACATGTCTTCAGAAGAGGGGCACTTTTAGAAAAACGTTGACATGCGAGCTGCACTCAAGGCGATGAAACCAGAATCTTTGAGGGGAGGGGCTGCAGGACCAGCATGGTCGGGCTCTGCACAGTTTTGATGGGCAGTCTGGGTGAAAATCACTCATCCCAATCACCCATCCAACCCCTTGTTCTGGAGCATCTGAGGCGCAGAGACATGCAGTAGCCTGTGTCTCTGTGGTGAGCACAGCACCACCCTCTATTGTTGTCTGTTTAAGTTTAGAAGCGAGTTTTGGTCTGTGCACAATTTTTTTATGCACAAGATCTCTACTAATTCTGGGTTTGTTTTCCATACTGAAAATGTTCCTCGCCTAAGTACCTTGCAAGAGCAGAGCAGTATTAATGCATCTGGTAATCACACAGTGAAACAGTCTGTCGTGAAAATAATGTCTCCTCTGGAATTAGATTTGGCTCAGTCCTTTTCTCCCTGCACCTCCCCTCCCCCATGCCCTATGAAGGATAACAAGTTTTAAGTGTGCAGAAAGATGACTTTTTTATAAGCACACATTGTCACATGTCCACCACTCAGGTTGAGATACAGAACATATTTGGCACTTTCTGAGGTTTCCACATACATCTTCTCAGACTATGTCCCATCCCCTGAGATGATCACTATTCAGATTTTATAAATATTATCTTTGTCTGATCTTGAGTTTCTTATAAATGTAATCATCACGTATGTACTCTTGTCTGGCTTCTCTCATTCCACCTAATATCTGTGAGGTTCATCCATGCTGCTGTATGTGTCAGTATTTTTTTATTGCTGTGGAGTATACTGTTTATGACTTTCCAGAATTGATTTATGCATTTGTTTTTGATGGGCAATTATTTCATTTTTCGACTATTCTGAACAAAGCTGCCGTGAACGTTCTTGTACTAGTTTGTGAACATACGCTCTCGTTTTGTTAACTAACTTTATTAGAAACTGTCAAACCATTTTCCACAGTTTGTCTTTTCTTAACTGCTAGGTTTGGCGAATACCTGGCTGACTGGTCCAGCTGGAGAATCCATTGGGATCAGAAGGGGCAGACGGGCCTGGGAGGCTGGCATTGACCCCAGGCTGTTTGGTGGCCAAAGCGTGCTTGGGGCCCTCCCAGGAGTTGGTGTGGTGTCCTTGTCACAGGTGGTGGCAGTGTGGCCTTGGTGCAATGGCCCCAGCGCCAGGCAGTGTGCATTTTGTAGCTGCACAGCCTCACTTGGTCCAGCACAGCAAGATGCGGGTCATGTGTGGAGGGAGGTGCTACCAGATTAGCACAAGGAAAGTGAGCAGGGCTGTGTTTGCCAACAGTTTACCTGGGGAACATTCCAGAAAAGGAGGCTTGCTGGTGAGGGAAGGAGTGGTATACTTCTAGTGGCAACGTCTTCTCCTGTCTGAAACAGGAGGCAGGCCCAGTGAATCATGCAGTGCCACAGACATCTGTGCTTGGCCGTGTATGGTTTATTGCAGTGCTTAATACACATGACTGGGGGTGGGGGCATGTCACAGCACCTGGAGCCACTTATTCCAAAGTGGGCAGGACGGAGAGTATCTGGCCTTTGCAGCCCCCATCTGCATGTCTGAGTCAGGCCCAAACAGCAATGGGGCAAACAGAGCAGTGCTGATGAGAATTGTAGACACCCGAGAGACTCTAAGGTCTATGGGATCAGTTCTGGGCACAAGGAAAAAGCCCCCTGGGACCCCCACTCAGTCTGGGGTGTCTGAGGGCCAAGCCAGTGCAGACAGGACCACTTCCCACCAGAGGAAGACCCCGTGCTCTGTGATGTGTCACCTTCTCACTAGTTCTGTCATGGCGAGAGGACAGCACCTGGATGTCTGATCCTATATTTTGCTCTGCCACCACTCTGCCTCTGCCCCTGGGACCATCCTTCCCTCACAGCACCATGCCGTCTTCTCACCACACTCATATCTTGTGGCTTCCGTGCCTGACTTTAGAACCCACTTGCGCACCTCAGCTCTGGAGGCCGTCGTGAGACCATGAGCCGTGTCCCTCAGTGGGCCTGAGCTGCCTGCATGCTGGCATCGGCATGCTGTGTCTGTCCCCTAACCCTCTATGGAGGTGATGTTATCTCCCCATTTTGCAGACGGTGTTAGTTGGCAGTGATTTCCCCAGAGCCCTTAAGGTGCAGGAGTTGAAACAGGGAGCAGTGGACTAGTCAGGCTGAGCCATTGGCTCTGGCCTGTGAGAGCACATACTCATAAGGCAGAGTCAGCGCTCATGTGGACGGATGCCTCTGGCCTCATGAGGGCACTCCACAGGGCACGGTCAGTGCTCATCCAGAAGCTTCCCTAGTGAGCCTAGGAGGACGCACAGTTGCACTCTTGAGTCTGGGGACAGGAGGGGGTGTTCATTGCCAAATGAGAGGTTGCTTTTCCTGGCACATGAAATGAAGTTGCAGTAGACTTCAGGATTTTGAGAATTTAATTTGGGAATTATGTCTGAGGCTGCACTTCCTTTTCCAGGATAAAGATAAAGTTTCTCTAACCAAGACCCCAAAGCTGGACAGAAGCGATGGAGGGAAGGAAGTGAGAGAGCGCACCACCAAGCGCAAGCTGCCCTTCACCGTCGGTGCCAATGGAGAGCAGAAAGACTCGGACACAGGTAGGAGACTCAGGGGGCTACTGTGACTGTCTTGGGGCTCTCAGCGTGTGGGACCCACATCACTGCCCTGGGTCAGGGTGGCTGCGGGGTCACAGCACCTTTACCTTCCATGTGGTGGAATTTCTGCCATTCCCTCTTCAGATCTTCCTGCCGCAGCAGCAGCCCACATCCTGTCTGACTGACTTGTAATTCTCCTGGATGTGGCCTGGGGCGACCCTCAGGGAAAGGCGTGGAGTGGTGCTGCTTCCATCCTCTTCTGCCACTCCTGCTTTGCATAGGAGCTGCCCCAAGGCATTCCTGCAGAGATACTGAGGGAGGGTGAGCAGTGCTCAGGAGCTGGGGCCAGGCATCAGGCCAAGCCACACAGCACCTTGTCCTCTCCTGTCCTTCAGGGCAGCTCGGGGCAGTAAGGGAGCATCACACCAGAGATTTTCCACACGTGGGAAGGGGAAGGGGGGCAGGAGACATGGAAAATGCCCCCAGCACACCAAGGAACCCACCCATGTTTGTCCAGTATGGGGGTAGGGGCTGGGCCCCTACCCCCCGAAACTTCCAGGCCCTAGTGCTGTTTGTATAACATTAATTTATGTATACATTAAACGCAGTTGTCTGTAGTAAAAGCCTGACGGCAGGTGAACGTGAACACAGTCAATGCAGTCCTCCCCAGCCCCCTGTGGGGACCTTAGGCTGCAGTGTGGTGGGGATGGTGTCCTCACATGGCGAATTAACACGTGACCTGTGCTTGTCTCGTGTGGGTGGGGCATGCTTTCACACAGACTCTGCCTTGAGTGGCTCACGGTGGCGAGGGCTGGGTCCCAAGGAGGACAGCATTCCCCCAGCCTATGCTCCTCCTCCGCCTGGCCCTGTGCACACAGGCCATCTCAGCCTGATGGTCACAACCCTCAACAAAGGCCTGGGATGAGCCCCACTCTTGGGCTGTGCTGTCTTGTTGCCAGTTCTTCAAACACCAGGACAGCCACCCAGGACCCAAGGTTAGAGGCCAGGCCCAGGAGGGCTGTCAGGGTGTCAGTTGAGAAGTCTGCAGATCACACTAGAGGAGAGTCTGGTGAGATTCAGGTCATGGGAATGAAGCAGCAGCGTTTGGGTCAGGCTCAGGAGATTCCACAGTGACTTCGGGAACGTGTGAAGGCCACAGACAGCCCACCGCGGCCTTCACGCAGAAGACTCTCCCACAGCCAGGCCCCGCCCTCCCAGAATGTCCATGTTGGGAAGTACAGGGGCCCTGCAGACTGGGCTCGGGTCCTTCTGGAAGGTCTGAGTGAGCATGGGGCCGCCTCACGGGCTGTGTTTAGTCACTGGTGGCTCTCGTCCTTGAGCTCGGTGTGTTTGGGGCTGGCGAAGCTCTAAGACCAGGGAGGAGAGCCTGCCAGGGTGAGACACTTCTCAGAGGAGCTGAGGAGACGGGGAGAAGTGGGTGGACCCCTCTACTGTGGGCAGCCAGAACAGATGGTGGACGGCTGCCCCTTCTGGGCCCAGAGCCTTCTTTCTCCTACTTTGTGATGCTCATGCCGACTTCTGCTGTAGAATGGTGTCACTGGATTACCTGGTTACAAGGTATTTGGGTCGTGGGCAGGTGGGGGTTGATGGTGCGATGGCTGAGTGCTCAGCTGCTAACCAAAAGGTTGGCGGTTCGAACCCACCAAGCAGCTCTGTGGGAGAAAGACCTGGCGATCTACTTCTGTAAAGATTATAGCCTAGAAAACCCTGAGAGTATGCCTCCTGGGCACTGTTTGAACTCAGTACTGAGGTCACTCCTAATGCTCACCCTTCGGCCAAAGATTAGACAGGCCTAGAAAACAAACAGTAACACATGTAGTTCAATCATGTATGAGACTAAATGGGCACACCAGCCGAAAAGCAAAGACAAGAAGGCAGAAAGGGACAGGAAAACTGGACGAATGGAAATGGGGAGGCCAGGGTTAAGAAACGGAAAGTGTTGACACATCGCAGGGTTGGCAACCAGTGTCACAAAACAGTGTGTATTGAGTGTTTAATGAGAAACTAATTTGCTCTAAACTTTCACCTAAAGCCCAATCAAAAAAAAAAAAATTATAGCCTAGAAAACCCTATGAGGCAGTTCTACTCTGTCATATGGCACCTAACAACAACAACAACAACAACAACAAACCACCAAACCTGTTGCCATCAAGTCGATTCCGACTCATAGTGATCCTATAGGACAGACTAAAACTGCCCCATAGGGTTTCCAGGGAATGGCTGGTGGATTCAAACTGCAGCCAAGCCCTTAACCACTGCCACCACGGCTCCGTCAACAACCAAACCCGTTGCCATCGAGTGGATTCTGACTCATAGCAACTGCAAAGTGAACTTTATAGGCAGGTGACATTGGACAGTCCTGTAAGAGTTGCGGCCATTCCCTGGGAAGCCTGCTGTGGGAGTCAGAGTGGTGGTGCCCAGTTTCCGCAGGGAGGGGTGTGGTGTGGTACTCCCTGATCAGTGTCTGGTATCTTGTGCCTGAGACACACCAGCACGCGCTGTCATGGCGAAGCTAATGCTCATTCAGGACAGGTGACCACTCCATGCTCGCCCACTGGTTCTTAGGTGGTGGAGCATCTTTGCAAGTCCTGTGGAGAAGGGGCCCTCCTCCAAAGACTCTGGTGCTTCTTGGGCACTCTGTGCTTCTGAGGGTCTCATGGGTCTGTTTCTGATGATGGGCCTTGTTACTGGACATATTGGCAAGAGGCAGGTTTACCTGAATCCCCATTAGTCCTCTGCGGAGTAGTGGGCAGCTCATGAAACTGTGAGTTCTCAGACTTTTAGCTTCTCTCTGCAGCGTGGTCCCAGTGAGGGCAGGGGAGGATCACTGTGAGGTAGGAGAAAGTGAAGACATTTAAAAATAGTTTCCCAGTCAGTGAATACTTTACAGACATCTAAACACAAGAGAAATGGAATATTTAACCTCTTCTGTGTTATCCTTTTGGGGGCAAACTTTAATATTCAACTTTCTTGTAATGAAACAAAACAGATTTTACTGCAAGGTGATCCTGACCGTGGCCAGTGGGCAGCATTGCTTGTACTAACCCATCGCCATCTAGTTAATTCCAACTTGTGGCAACCCTTGTGTTACAGAGTAGAACCAGTCCATAGGATTTTCATGGCTATAATCTTAACAGAAGCAGATTGCCAGGCCTTTCTTCCTCAGCACCACCGAGTGGATTCAAACTACTAACCTTTCATTTAGCAGCCAAGCGCAAACTGTTTGCACCAATTGCCTATACTAGACACATGTGTTTTTAACCAAGTGTCTCTTAAACCAGCGTCTCTTTTCCCCCTAAGATTGCTTTTAGCCCAGACCCCTTCTGCTAGGTGGTAGGCTGCTCCCACATGCAGGCTGGTCCTGGCTTCCTTGGCTGATTTGTTGTTGTTAGTTGCTAGTTGTTAGCTCCAACTGATGGTGACCTTATATATAAAAATACGTTGCCTGGTCCTGCACCATCTTTATGACCTTTGACATGTTTGAGTCCGTTGTAGCTATTGTGTCAGTGCCTTCATGGAGGGTTTTACTCATTTTTGCTGACACTCCACTTAATCAAACATGATATCCTTTCCTTGAGTGGTCTTTCCTGATGATATGTCCAAAGTGAGCAAGATGAAGTCTTGCCATTCTCATTCTAAAGAACATTCTGGTTGATTTCTTTTAAGACCTATTTGTTCATTCTTCTGGCAGTCCACAGTATATTCATATTCTTTGCCAACACCACAGTTCACATCTTCAATTTTTCTGCCTTCTGTTTTCATTGTCCAACTTTTGCATGCATATGAGGTGATTGAAAAGACCATGGTTTGGGTCATCAAAGTGACATCTTTGCTTTTTAACATTTTAAAGAGGTTTTTTGCTACAGATTTGCCCAGTGAAATACATTGTTTGATTTCTTGACTGCTGCTTCCATGGGCATTGATCATTGATCCAAGTAGAATGAAATCCTTGAAAGCATCAGTGTCTTCTCCATTTATCATGATGTTCTTTATTGGTCCAGTTGTCCACCTTCTTCCTGGTCACATCTCCTGGATGACACAGTGCCTGAGCTAGGTGCAGATTCCACACTGACTGTGAGTTTCTTGCTCAGACTCTGATTTAGAGCCAATGGCATGAAGCCATTTCCCTCCAAGACACACACCTTCCTGCCCCTGCTGTCTGCCAGCTGTGGAGCCATGGGGTGCCAGGCAGCAGCTGTGGTTGGAGTCACTGGGTGACCCAGTGCAGAGAGGCCCTTAGCTGACAGGAGGTGAAAACCACACAGTGGGTAGAGTGGGAGTGTAATGTGAGGAACTGTCAGCTCTGATAAGAGAGTCCCCCATGAGGTAGATGGGATCTCTGGTCGCCTGGCTGAAGGCTGACCTGGAGGGGTCCTGACCCCCGTGGAGAAGGTATGGTTCGGCCACAGGACAGCAGAGAAGTTCTGGTTTGACCAGGCCAGAGCTGGGCTGGAGTTGCTGGAGCTGCAGGTGGGAGCTGGTTGCACACTGGGTGAAGCAAGGTCACAGGCACAGGCCCTGGTTCCCTGGCTGTGGAAGGGTCATGACCCAGGTGCAAGGTTGCAGCTCAGGGCACCCACCAGACATCCTCATATTGCATATAGGAAAGCCCTCTCTTCTGCGTGTTGCTCCAGCGCCCTCTGCTGAGAAAGCATGGTATCATGCTCACTGTCAAGCCCTAGGTTTGTGGCAGAGCGAACATGGAGGGAGCTAAGAGGTGTCTGGAAGGCGGGGTTCCAAGTAGTAAATGCTGAGCGTCCTTGAATTAACCCCCTGAACGTCCCTCTGAACCTGCTTGCTTGCCTTAGGTGTGTTCTAGGACACTGGAGAGTACGTCTGCAATCATGTTTCCTGATGAGCTGAACAGGCCGGCTCAGCAGTGACTTACCCACAGGAGGCGCAGCGCTGGGTGCTGAGTCAGGCTGGGCCACATGCCAGAGCCTGCACTTCACCTCTGCCGTGTGAGCACGGGGGTGCCGAGT